GAAATGAACAAACCTAAGAGAGGTCTACCCAAGGTACATATACACCAAGTATCAAAGCATTCAGGCTTGTAGTTTTCAAGAAGAAGTCGAAAAAGTAAAACATTGACACGGACGACGACGACGACGGACAATCACTCATATGATAAGCTCCGCTCGACAAAGTCGACAGCGGAGCTAAAAAACACCGAAAAACTATCCTGCCATAATAATAGTTTTGTTTAAATCACAGCAGACCCTGTTTATCTTGTCATAATTACTGACAGGGTCTTGCAAAATGTCTAGCTATCAAAAACAAGACTAGGATCTTATTTGGATGACATTTCTTATCAATATTTCATCATCATTGTGGTACCCTGTGAGACAATATTTGTTGACAGAATTGGCAGCAAATGTTGAAAACATGTAACACTGGTATATACTTGGAAATTCAATTAGTAGTCAGATTTAAAGTATAAAAATGGCTGACCAAACTGATGAACAGATTTGTAATATCAGTATTACACTGTATACACACATCGATAGTCAACAAAGGTCAAAGGTTACACACATGATAATATGTGAAGCTTGTTTGAGGTCCAGAGAAAAAACAGTTTCTGGTCAATTACTTTTTCTAAAATTGAAGCACGCACATTTTTTTTTATTTTAATTTTTTTAAATGCATTTCTGTAATCTGATTTGAAAGTCTGACACATAAAAGCTACAGCCACCGTATTTATAACTGACATCCACTATGACCAGAAACATAAATAGTTTTTTTCTGGACCTAATGCTTGTGAGGATTCAAAGTTGCAATGAAACTCACATTGTACTATTAGTACTTCGTTTGATTGAGGCTATCGACAGCTGTCGACGAGTATGTCTGCATTGTAAAAAGAGAAAAGAAAACACGCTGAGTTGATGTCCAAGATTGCAGCAGGGCTTGAAGCTCAGAGATATTGAAGACAAATAACGTCTTAGCACCTTAGCTTGTCTTAGAATTCTAGACTCCCTAGCAGGCTGTTTTAGTCTTCTAGACTCCCTAGCAGGCTGTTTTAGTCTTCTAGACTCCCTAGCAGGCTGTCTTAGTCTTCTAGACTCCCTAGCAGGCTGTCTTAGTCTTCTAGACTCCCTAGCAGGCTGTCTTAGTATTATAGACTCCCTAGCAGGCTGTCTTAGAATTCTAGACTCCCTAGCAGGCTATCTTAATGTTCTAGACTCCCTAGCAGGCTGTCTTAGTATTCTAGACCCCCTAGCAGGCTGTCTTAGTATTCTTAGACTTCCTAGCAGGCTGTCTTAGTGTTTTAGACTCCCTAGCAGGCTATCTTAGTGTTCTAGACTCCCTAGCAGGCTGTCTTAGTGTTCTAGACCCCCTAGCAGGCTGACTTAGTATTCTTAGACTTCCTGGCAGGCTGTCTTCGCCTTCTAAACTCCCTGGCACTTCTCAGAATGCTTGCAAGTTGTGCCCTCTCATAGTAAAGCGTTTCTGTGTCATATTTAATTGTAAGGAACAGTTTTGCTAGTTTTTTACTAATAAAAACTACTGTTTTTTGTACGTTGCTATATTCTGAATAACAACTGACTACACAACAAAACAGAATCGTCTAGTTTAATTATGTTGCTTTACAACTGATAAGCATCATTTTCACGACACAGAAACATATTGTAGGAAAGATGCATTGGTGCCCACTATATTCTGAAGTTCAAGTCCTGCTGTGGATGATAGAAGTTAGTAGAACAGAAAAGATGAAGACAAGAATTATACAGCATTCATTTTCATGGATGGTATAACAAAAATGTATGTGGAAAGCTGGTTAAGAACAGCATGGATATGAGAATGACATTACAAGATATTGAACTCACTATAGCAGTAGCAGCAAGACATGTTTAAACCAAACACGTAAAGGATTGAAAAATTTTTGCAGTATTTAGTGATGAATCAGTTTACATGTGTTCTATTAAAGGCCAGTGGTCATTGTGCTGCACATGTGCGACATTTGTGTTGATAAACATTGATTTTCCCACAATCCAATGCACTCTTCCAATGAAAATCACAAGTATGATGTTCCATCTGGGCGTGAATTGCACTAATTACGGCCGGTGATTCTTTCGATACCTTCCAAACACCTGAAAAAATACCTAATTAAAGCTTAGTGACGTCTCAGTTTGTACCAATTGATCTACGCAACAGCCATCTTTGTTTGAGACTCGTATATCTTGCACATGTGTGGCTTGACGACTACCGCCCTTTAAGTTTAATTTGAACATAAACAAGTTTACTAAGTGGAAAGTATTATAGAATGAAGTGAGAGACAATTTAGACAGCAAAACATTCAGTGCCAAATTACAATTGAGGAAAATTCTAACTCACCTGTCATCATGTGGCTGTTTACAGATACACCAAATTTTGCGAGGGTCGTTTTCACTTCCCAAATCACTGTCGTTCTCATCATCAGAATGCGTCAAGGAAACATTACTTGCACCACCATCTGATAAATTAGAAAGGTGACAAGGCTTTTAGAAAATAGGTACATGTATTTACCAAGGTGGAATCCATCTCAGTGAGAATCACTTTTGATTTTTGTTTAATTGTTGACTTTTTTTTGTTTTAATCCTTCGAGTGTCGCCATTCACAAAATTTTTTCCTATTAGTCTCAAAATTTCAATCAACACCTGTAGCAGATAGAAAATAATGTCCATTTTTTCTAAAATAATCTCGATTGGAAAAATACATAAATACAGGCAAAATATTGCACCAAATTATTGTGGTCAATGTAGTAAGAAATTTGATGCAATTTATTTGACCATATTATTACATGTATATGTAGTTTATTCTATGAGAATACCGTCAAATCTGTATTAGAAGCCGCATCCAAAATAGTCGCACCCATTCTTTTTGAACAGTTGAGACCCAAATTCATCATATCTCATATGTGTAGATGCTCTTATAGAAGCCATATCCAGTCTATTGCTTTATACCATTTCAATAGAAGTCGCGGCTTCTAATACAGATTTTACAGTAATACCTGCTACCTTCCTGATGCTGGACACACACTAACCATTAAGAGGTTAGCATACATTCGCTGGTTCAATTTTTTGGCCTCAATTTACAGACTGAAACATACATTTTACCCATACGTGTTATATATCATAATAAAGATCTTGTTTAAAACTTTGGAAATATGGCAATTTTTTTTAAATTATGCAAATACCAAGTCATGTGATCACAGGAATACGCGAAAATGGAGTAAAACGGTTAATGACGCAATTAATAATTAATTTGCACCATGACTGAATATATTTTTTTATGTAAATATTATAGAGGGGTGGCTTCATGTACAATGTTCTTCGTTTTTTTGCAACTATAATTTGTTTTTATGTAGCCTTATTTCAAATGTTTGGACGTTATTACATGAGTAAAAACAACATGTCTCTATATAACAAGCCATGCATGGCACAGTCCCTGTTAGTTATCAAATTTAAGATATAAAGTTTTGTTTATAGTAATATAGCTGGAATATAAACATGTCAGGAATACGATGATTTTTTAACATTTAAATGATTGACATTTGTATCTGATAGTCAAATGAGTATTGAGAGATATTGCTCTGGAACATCATTAATTAAAACAAAATCAGCCATTATGAATATATGTATAATGAATATATAAAATTTGAACATAGTCAGTCAAAGCATGTCAGAGATATGGCTTTAGAAGCTCATTCATTAAATCAAAATGGCCACTAGTCAGCCATTCAGAATCCAATCTAAAAAATAAAACAAGTTTTTTAGCACAAAAATAGCAACCATTAGGCCACTTTGAAAAGGATCGTCAAACCAATATATCCGTATATCTGTGACATGATGTATAATGAATATTAAAAATTTGAACATAATCAGTCAAAACAAGTCAGACATATGGGTCTGGAAACCCATTCATTAAAACAAAATTGCCACCGGACAGCCATTTTGAGTCTGATCTGAAAAATAAAATGACGTGCATCAGGAACCCGTAATGTACTAAGTTTGAACGAAATCCATCCATAAATGCTTGATATTTGATGATTTTTTAGCACAAAAATGGCAACCATTAGGCCATTTTGAATAGGATCGTCAAACCAATATATCTGTCTATCTATGACATGATGTATAATGAATATTTAAAATTTAAACATAATCAGTCAAAACAAGTTGGAAATATGGGTCTAGAAGCCCATTCATTAAAACAAAATGGCCGCCAGTCAGGCCATTTTGAATGTTATCTGAAAAACAAAATTATTTGCATCAAGGTCCCATAATGTCTAATTATATATCCAAGTTTGAACAAAATCCATCTGTAAACAGCCGAGAAATGCTTGATTTTTATGATTTTTTAGCACAAAAATGGCCGCCATTCGGCCATTTTGAATCAGATCGTAAAACAAAATGATGTTCATCAAAGTTCAATAATGTCCAACGTATATAAAAGGTTTGAACAAAATCCATCTGTAAACAGCCGAGAAATGCTTGATTTTGACGATTTTTAGCACAAAAATGGCCGCCATTCGGCCATCTTGAATCGGATCGTGAAACAAATTGACGTGCATATGTATGATATCATGTATGTGTGAAGTTTGATTGTGATTGGTCCAGGCATTTCTAAGATACAGGTCTGGACGCACGCACAGACGCACGCACATAGGACAAAACATAAGTCCCCGTTTTCGGACTGCGTCCGAACGATGACTAAAAATAAGCAAAAAATCAAAACGAAGGCAGACAGAAAAAAATCCAGGAACATTCCTCCAGTACTCTATATATAGCGATAAAGTTGACGATCTGACCTTTCGTTTGTTAGAAATTGCGTACTGAATCTGTAGAACTACGTAGAAATCAATTTCAAGATAAACGCAAAAAAACGTCCAAGGTCAATGAATCTCAAACTAGGCCTAACAAATTTGAAAAATATGGAGTTATAATTATTGAAACATGTCTGCCTAGCGACCAGCTACTAAATAATGCCTTCTAATTTGGGGGCTAAATGTTATATGCGTTAAAGACGATGAAATATGTTATGAAATCTCAGAACGGCCCTACCGTGTGTCAACCGACAACGTGATGACTTCCCGCGAAAGTGACGTAGTGATTTGCATATTATTAATATGGTGTGGAGGCGGAGTTATTCCAAATAAAGAAAATGGTTTAAGCCGTGTGCACAAGATATTTTCAAGTTTGTTTTGATTACTGTTCACTGTAAAACTGATAGCCGTGTGGTATGTCGTAGCAAGGGTGCGAACACGGTTTCTTTTTTTAGTAACCGTGGTGCGAACAAGAGCAATGACTTTGCCTTTTTTTGCTCGTTTTTGTGATCGCTTGTTGAATTCGACTGGACAATTTCCGCGAAAACCCTGAATATCACCGCCCGCTTGCTCGCAGAAAATTTACGAGGTTCACATTGTCTTACAATTGTCTTACTGGTTTTTATAAATGTTGAACAGCCGACAAAAGTTCAAATACTTTTCGTTTTAACTATCTATAATTATATGCACGCAATCTGACTCTTTGACTTCGATTTGGCTTGGATTGAATATTTTATTTTCAACAAAATGTATTTCAACACAAGTACGCCATGGTTTTCTTTCCCGATTGTTGAGTCTTCGCAATGTGTTTACGGTTTGTATTATTATTGTTGTTTTCCTCAAGGCGATGACAAGCTGAAGGACCATGAAGCTAAATGGCAGTTTCATGCAAATAAAACCTAATATTACACCTCTTTGTGTATTTGTTAATTTTACATGTTTGTCATGACAGTGTATCTAGAAAAATTTCCTCATTGTTTGGACTGTCTGTTGACCGTGCCCCAATAGTTTGTTCGGGAAATCGATCCCCGTTGGTTTCTCCATACTGAGTTAAGGATGGGCGTCGGTCCCGATGTCCAGCATTCATCACAATCAGCCGAGACAAAACATTGACCATAATTCATGGGGATCATGTTCCGTAATTTGTGGGCTGAAAATCCAAATAATTAAACAAGTATTAATATTATATACATTTCATTTTACATCGCGAAACTACAACAGAGCTTGGTTGTTCGCGGTGAAACAGTCGCCTTGAAGTCGATACAACTTCAACTAGCCATTTTTTGCCTTGAAATCAACCAAATAAAAATTCCAAGAGCATCGGGGGAAAATATTAACCATTTTTAGCAATCACTAGATTTATTTTATCCGAATACATGAAATGCACGAGATTTTCAACATTTATTGGCAACTTCCGCGCTGAAAATGGTTAAAAATGTGGGTGTGGTTCTCTCGCAAAATCCTGTTGATAATACGGACAAATTTGGTTCTGTGACCCAGGTCGTGCTCCGATCAGGTGACTTTCAGCAAATCGATGATGTTGTAACAAAGCATATTTGACGCTAATTGAAGGGTCGTCGCACCGTCCAATCTCCGGCTTCGAATCACATAGTTTTTTTGTTCTGTGACAGGCTTCAAAATTATTCACTGAAAAACATCGGTATATATTGACTAACGGAGGGGATTTGACCTCAGTTCAGAAAGACGAAAAACTAAGCTGAGTCCACGGCGAATCAGTTTTCGTGAAAATAAGGTTACCCAGAGTAGGGTCGATGATTTTCAGCCCTGAAGGACTTCCGCATGAATCCTGATTATCGAAATGTTCATCGTCTGGCCACCAAATATTTATGGCTATAACTAAATTTGACACGTTTTTTTCTGAATTATTCATTTATGTCAAGCTCAGTTCTATTTTTTCAGAGCATGTGGCCGTTTTAGTCAGAATATTTTTTGTGGGAACACTTATACGGTACGTATAGATCGAGCTCATTCACTGATTGTGACTTAATTTCAAAAATTTAATGTCAAATTATACCAGACCGACCGCCTGTGGACCACCATGGTTTTGGTATCGTTATTTTTGGAATTAATCATTAACATTTTCCTCGTTTCTCTGCTCTGTCGAAAGAAGTTACCTATGCCCTTTTCACGTAACTGTCTCATTAAAATAAAATATTACATTTAGAACAAGCACCGAAAACGCGTAACAAGAGGTTCCAGTTAAGTTTGACGAGTGTCATGCAACTATTAGATTTAGATCGGTGTTTTGGCGAGCAGTCAATGTTTTCAATGAGCGAGCGGGCGAAAAAAAGAGCGATTAAAATGCTGTTGGTTTCCCGGTCGAAAATCAAGCAATAAGCTGTGGGGGTAAAAGCGGAAGGCAGTGCGAAATGAGTAACGTAATTATATAAACTTTGTAGTATTGATATGCAAATCGGATCCTTCATCAAGTGTCAATTAGGATACTTTCATGCGAGTGTTGTGCTTGTGTTGGTGGTGTTTATAAACAATCACATGTTTTAAAATAGAAAAAACGGCGAAATATGCCTTACAAAATGGAGTTTTTGTTTAGAATAAGAGCACAGTCATAGATACTGTCATAACCATCAATAATTTAAAATAAAAAAAAAATATTGAAAAAAAAACACATT